TCTGTCTCTCTCTGTCTCTCTCTGTCTCTCTGTCTCTCTCTCTCTGTCTCTCTCTCTATCTCTCTCTATCTCTCTCTCTCTGAAGAAATCCCTAAACCCGCACACAGAAACTTCCTGGATCACAATACTGTCCATTCATAGGTATTTTCATTCTGACACTACAGCTCGGAAGTGGTTCAGTAAACACTATTGCCCGAGCAGGCCATAGTTATTTGTGGCCTCATCCCATTCCAGGCACGGAAGAACAGCAGGCTAGAGGGTGCCACCAAGAGGAATGTCCTCCTGGTCATCAGGACACAAATACAGCTTGTACTCAGATGTGGGCCTGGCTCTGGCCTCTTCTCCCACAGCTCTTGCTGTTTCTCTTTGTTCTCTCCATAAGCTGCCCTCAAAAGAGTTCAGCTGCCCTCTGCAGCATGGCCAGGGTTCTGCCAGACACTCACAATGCCAGGCCAGAATCCCAGGGGAGAGGACAGGCCACTGTGAAAAGCTGGGTAGCAGTTATTTAAAACAGAATGAGCTAGGAATCAGATTCAGGCCTAGAAGGCAGTCCAAAATTAAGATGATATTCTTACTCTACGGATTCAGCAGGGAAGTCTGTGGAAAGAAAACAGCTGTCCAGATTGGGCCAAGTGATGCAGAAAATGGACCTGATGACCAGGCTACTGTTGGTAGTGTTTAAAAATGAGTTATTTATGTTGCCGTGGTATATAAAAGACTTCAAGAGGCCATTTATCCAACTTTCCCTCCAGCCTTTGTACCTCTTTTGCTGAGACAAGGAAGTCAGATTAAAACAGCCACTGCCACCAAATGACATACACATGCGGAAAGAAGTAACAGCACCCACAATGAAGGGCACTTTCAATACTTTTGCATTAGAAACTGGCTGTTTAAAATACTCTGCCGACGTTGAAGGTTGCTAAACCTAAAATGTTTAAACACAGAAAAATTCAGTAATCACCCTTAAGGCAATACCTTGGGGTAGTATAGGGTTCCTTTCTTTCATTGTTAAAATAATTTAGATCTGTATCATGGGGTTGATATTAAATGCAGCATATGTTTAAGCCTTAAAAGCTAAAACGACTGCCAATAAATCCAGTACTTGGAATCTCACACACAGTAGGCTTGAAGAACACAGTTTCCTTCCATTTGGCCCAGTTCAATAACTGATATTAGGCACTTACCACATGCAAGGCACTGTGGGTAATTTCGATGCAGGCCAGGGACCAGTACTACCTATACCAGTAGCTCAAGCTCTCCAAGTAAAAAAAAAAAAAAAAGTCTCAGTTTATAAACCTGGGTCTGAACAATAGCCAAGTGCCAACTGCTTACTTAATATTTGGAGGCTATTGAGTGGAGACCAGCGCAGAAAACAAATCCTCTGGAAAAGGACTGATAGGACACAGCAATCTCCAAAGGGAGCATAAGAGGAAGACGGTTCGACACATGAGTGTATAATGGGACATTTAAAACAGAGCAGAAACTCTATCTTGATGGGGAATGTCCTTCTGTATATACGTTTCTCTTACTGGTTGATGAATAAAACACTGACTGTCCAGTAGCAAGGCAGGAGGTATAGGCTGAGCTACCACATGAGGAAAATGCTGGGGAGAGGACGCAGAGAGAGGCTTCAGGGAGACACCACACAGCAGAGGAAGGAGTAACAGGTCGGGACCCTTCTCCAGTAAGATAAGACCACGTGGAAATACTTAGATTAATAGAAATGGGTTAGTAATTAAGACAGAACTAGCCAGTAAGAAGCCCAAGCCACTGGCCAACAGTTTTATAATTAATGTAAGTCTTTGTGTGTTTATCTGGGGCTAATCAGCTGCAGAGCCAGGCAAAAAGGTAACTCCAGCTATACTATGTTGCTTACATTAAATGGCATTGAGAAAAGAATGAATACCATGACACTGGCTTGAAGCTGAGGTCTTTATGCAAACCCTAGTTAAAAAGAGAGACACACACATACCCGTGATGTGATGTCCACATATGTACTCTCAGTTTTCCAGTCTGTTACGGCTGAATTTGCATGCTGAGAAGACTTTAAGGACAAGAGAGCAATTATATCCCCATGTCCCTTGCTTACTAAGGTCACCTGGGCACAGCAAAGCACTATGCTGGGTCTCTACACAGCCACTCAAATTACTAACCTAAATAGTTCCCAGCTGCCCCTTCTATGCCTCAGTTTCTCCCATCTGAGAAAAGAAAGAAAGCAATGCACTCTATCTAAGTCCTTATTAGGAGGATAATGGGATTAATTGTAACGCCTTGTGTAGAGACTGGAGTTCCCCACAGTGAGGAACTATATAAACAGAACGAGAAATTAGTGCAGCCCACGCAGGAAAGTAAATGTAAAGGGAGTCTTACATCTATGAAGTTAAACTGCTACTAAAGTTCATTTACCAAAGATAGTGGTTGCTCAGCAAAACAAAGGCAAAAGCTTGAAGTAAGTCACTTTCTCTAAGACTCTTAACTATAAAACATGAGTGACAGAGGGAAAGAAAAAGGACAAGCAAGGAGTCACAGCTTTTAGGGACCTGTCTTCACTTTGGGGGGGGGCGGGTCACAGCAAGATGTGAAGTACTCATTAGCTTTATTTATATAATGTTGCCTGAAATGGCTGCTTTCCTTAATATAGAATGTAGAACTGAGAACCTGAGAAAACTTCCCCCATTCAGGGTCCATTCACACATTCTAGGCAATTCCAATCAAATGAGCTAAGACAGCTGTCAGTATGACACAACAGTCTGTATACTAACAGGAGACTCCTACCCTAAAGCCTTAGCCCAACTTCAGCAAACAGAATTCTCTTCTTACCGTTCAGTGGAGCCAAATGAACATGAAATCTAAAAATCTAATATTCCCAGAGTGCCTACTATGTGTTGAGCACTCTGCTATGGTGTCATCATCATTCCTGCGGCTGCCACAAAAAAACCTAGCAGGCAGGCTTTATTCCTTACAAAAAAAGAACACTGAGAGTCTGCACAGCTGGGTAAGTAAAAAGCTTATATTTAACCAAAAAATACAAGATTTCTCCTAGATCTCTCCAACAGAAACACTGCCAATTTTAAAAGCACATACATCCATGTTTATCTAATCTGGCAAGAGGCATCACCAAGCAGAGAACTCAGGGTGATATGTGTATGAGCTGGTGTGCAGCCATCTACTTTAACTTCCAAGCCTAATCACATGAATGGCCACCTTCAGCTTGAAGGAGGCCAGCTCCATCCCCAGTGTGGATTCTGTAAGGTGTGCTCCGAAAGGTTAGGATGGGAGCTGTATGCAGCCCCAGCCTGGAGACGAGACATTGCCCCACTCCCAGTCTCCTCAAAGTGAGGTGACGAGGGACTGGAGGATGGACACTACTTTAAATAAATCTGTCTATTAATACCATGCGATTTTAATGATTTCTTTAGAAGACAATAATTTCTTTTAGTTAAGAATAATGAATCACAACAAACTCACTGAAATAAAATAGTTAAAACAAAACAAATATTTGATGATGGATAACACCAGTTTTTGCTCCACGGTTAATGTTCTTACTCTCTGGAGGACTTACGTCTTCCAGGGAAGTGTTCTGAGGAGGACTCTGGTGGGCAAGGTACCTTAGCATTGAGGGGACACACCGACAGGGCACTCCGAAAGAGCCGGTCTTCGCTCCGCCACTCCCCACTTCGGATCACACACCTCAGAGCATTGATGAGTAGAATTCCCAGCACAATGGCAGCAACTGGTCTCTGGACAGAGTTGGCAGATGTCATCAGTAAGCCACATGTGGTGGCTATGGTTCCTGGTGGCAGCATTCTGGGTTGGCACATTTTTCTTTTTTCTTTTCATTTTTTATGTTCCGTGTACGCATGTGTGGTGCACACCCATGGGTACGAAGGCCCGAGCATCTGCCTGTGACCATGTAGATGTCACAAGAAGATACCAAGTGTCTTCCTTCACTACTCTTCACCTTACTTCTTCAAGACAGGGTCATGCACAGAGCCTGAAGCTGGCTACTTCTGCTGGGCTGGTGGACAGTGAGTTCCCAGGGATGCCTGTCTGGGAGCTCTCAAGCTTGCGGCTACAGGAGTGCAAAGCCATGCCAAGCAGTTTACATCAGGGCTGTGAGTCAAACCCCTTACTCACTGAGCCATCTCCCCAGCCCTGTGGTACCTTTTTCTTAGTGTGTCTGCTTAGGGCTCCAAAGCCGAAGGTCAGCAGCATGCAGTAGCCAGCGCTGGGGAGGTAGAGGACACGCTCTGCGACCACGAAGCCCACTCGGAAAAACAAGTTGCTTGCAGGAAGGAAGGGAATCACAAGAAACCCCAGACCCAGAGTCAGGATTCTGGAAGATGAAAAGTATTTATGTAAACAGCTAGCCTAGACTTTTCAAGGAAATCTTCTTACTTGACATAATTCACAATCAAGACTGTTCTTTGTTTCCTGCCATCAATTTAGAAAAGATACTAGCAGGGAAAAAGGCATCAGTAGAGGGAGTTAGCTGACAGCACCGAGCAAGGTACTCAGCAGCCGGTACGTAGGAAAAACATCCAAATCATATGTTTGTATCAAGTCAGAAAGATTACATTTAATCTATTCTTCGCTTAGTGAACACTGGTCCCCAATAAATCCATGTAGTTTTTAATGTGACCACCCCCCCCAACCAGAATACAGAAATAGATTAAACTTTGTAAAAATTTAAAGAAACAAGTACCATCTCTTGTTGTTGTTGTTGTTACTATGTCACAACCAGCAAAGCACAAACACAGTATTCCATGAAGCATATCTAGCATTGGCAGAGTATTCTATATGTCTCTCTGTCTTATATGACACAAAGGTGTAAATGAAGAAATGAGGTCACATTTGGTGGCTCCTTCTGGGACCCTGTGCCCTACAGTGTTTTTTTTTAAATTCTATTTCACATGTATGAACTGTGAATGATGGAGACTGAAGCTTGTTCCTCTTGAGGCTCGTCAACCAATTTAAACACATAAGTAGGCATTCATTTACTTTGTGAAACTGCTCATTTAATATCTTGCATTTAGGCTTTGTGGAAATCATCTTAAACAGCTTTTATTTTCACAGCATCTGTCTGTTTTCTCCAATTATTTCTTCAATAACCCTTTCCAAAAGATCTTTTTATCTGCTGAAAAAGTCTGGTATCTCTTTTGGGGCAGCAGCCTATTTTGTGCCATACAACAAACACAGAAAGGACCAACACAGAATTTGCAAGGGTTTCTTGGAAGGAGAACTGTGAAATAATGGACCCAGCACACGTCAATTACACTCTCTGTTCTGACCATAAATTACCCTTTGCCTCCTACAGCGAGATCTCCAAGTGCTACTGGGGGGGGGGCGCACATGGCAGCCATGTCTACCTCTCCTCCAACTTCCCTCCTACTAGTTGAAGCCAGCCATGGATTCCCACCTTGTAGTAGCCATATATTCAGAAGAAATGTCCTTAGCCATCCTATGCACAGAGCTGTTAAAAGTGATGGGCACAGGGTTTAGCAAAATGCTTCCGGGTAGAAGTTAAAATTCCACGATGCCTCTTACCTTCTTTTGCAGCCATCTTCAGAGCACAGGGCTTGGAACATTAGGCCAATTAGGCAGAGCCAAAGTGCTGCTAGAGCAATTACCCTCCAGTCACCAACTGACTTAATGAGAGGGATGCAGCCCATTGACCAATCAAAACACAGCCACCAGGGACACAGCAGCAGCCAGGCATTCAATGAATAGTAGTAATTATAGTTTATGGCCTGTCAGTCAAAAGAAAAACAAACACTTACTTGATCCTGAACTTGAAAGAACACACATATCCTAACTTCACTTCTTCTGAGGCATTCACAAGCTCCTGTTCCAGGGAGCAGTTGTGTAAAAATGAAATGCTGCCCATTTGTATTCTGAGCATAGGACTGTAACCTGTAATTTATTAAATGCATCCAAATTTTAATACTTTAAAAATACAGCCAAGCCACTGGGTCAGGCAATGCAGGTGTCCTATTTTCAACCAGGCTAGGGATCATTTACATAGTATAACCTAATGTCTCTGACACAGTCAATGTGAGGCTGGCCCAGGTGTCAACAGGGGAGCCTAACAATGCAAAAATGGAGCTCAGCACTGAGTATCCTCTTGGTTTCTCTCTGTAAAGTGCACAGCTAGGAGTCTGGCTTGAGATCGTTAGAAGAACATGAAGACTTAAGTGAATAACCTTGACACTGTCAGACTTCTGCAATGGCATTGTGCTGTTACACCGTGTCCTATCTCAGCTATATCAGTTTCCCGAAGCAACAGAAACGGGGTCAGAAAGCAGGTTAGTATGATGGGCATCATCACAGCAGAGGCGCCTTCCCTTCTTTTTTTTTCATGAAAGCAATCGTGGTTGGTCCTCTCTTCTCTGTGGGCCTACAGCCACAGATTCCACAAACCTAGAATTTAACCACAGACTGAAAATGTTTGGAAGGGAAAACAATTCAGAAAGTTTCAAAACTCCAAAGTTTAAAATTGCTGAGCACTGAGTGAGTCCCTGAACCATAAGAACAGAGAGCAGGCACTGTGTCAGCTATAGTGTAAAAGCTGGGGACAGTTCTAAGCATACAGGAGATGACTATAGGTTATACGTAAATACTCTTACCTTAACAAAGAGACTCCAGCACTCCTGGTTTTTAGAATTGGGGGGGGGGGGCTCTTGACACTAATTCCCCATGGACACCCAGAGATAACTATATAAAGACCCAACACACATCTTTCCCAACAGCATAATAAAAAGTTGGCTTTATCTTGTTAGAACAGGATTTATTGGGAATGTGTTGGAGGGTGGGGACGAAGATGGGGAAGGATGAAGGATCTACAGCAGTGGTACTTAACCTTTGTAACACTGCAACCTTTAAATGCAGTTCTCCATGTTGTGGTGATCCTCAACCATAAAATTATTTTCGTTGCTACTTCATAACTATAATTTTGCTATTGTTATGAATCATAATGTAAATATCTGATATGTAGGATATCTGTTAATGTGACCCCTGTGAAAGGGTTGTTCCATCCCCAAAGGGGTTGAGACCCATAGATTGAGAACCACTAATCTACAGACAATAGGGAAAGAAAATAATTGAAAAGAAGTCCAGGTTCATTACTTACCCTAACCAACACGCTGTCTGCAAAGGAGGCTGGATTGTCCACCTCGGTAAATGCTGGTGGACCCGTACCCATGATTTTCCAGCGTACATAAAGCATGCTGGTCCCTCCAAGGGTGAGCAGGGTCATTCGGAAGAGGAGGCCTCCATTCCTGAGCGCGCCAATGTTCTGAAAGGACATCACAAAGCTCCTGCTATTGAAAACTTTCAAATAAAGCACAGCATGTGGTACCAAGTATTTAGGAGGCTGAGACAGGAGTATGAACACTTTGGTCTGTATGGTCTGCCTGGAGGCTATACAGAGTTCAAGTCTAGCCTAGGAAACATAGTAAAACAGGTTTAAAATAAAAGGTAGGAAAAAAAAAAAAAAGGGCTGGAGATACAGGTTAACCATAGGGCACTCGCCTAGAATCATGCAGGCACTGGGTTTAATCCCCAGCACTACAAAATTAAATATACCAACCCCAAGTATGATTATTTCACCTAAACCATTTGGCACGGTTCATTAAAAAGCTGCCTACTTTCATATTCAAATCACAAGAAATACTTGGAAAACAGCATTGTGAATGGTCTGGTACTTGACATTTTCCATGTCTGGGCTCGAGATAAAAGCATGTAACTCACCTCTAATGACTTGTTCTTATGTAGTACCTTCTGGACAGTTTCCAGAATGTTGAATTTTCCTATCACCAGGATATCGAACACAGCATTCAAGCCCTAAGAATCAAAATCTCAGTTAGTCCAGAGAGCGTGGCTCTGATGGGGCAGAAATTACAGTCACATTTTCATTATTTAACCCACACAAGAAATCTGAAGATGACCATGGACAAACTCCCAGGAATTTAAGAAGAACATGTCTGGATGAACCTAATCTATGAACCTATCTCCACCAGTGATAACCTAGTGAGACTCTGGCAGGAATGATGCCATGGCCTACCTACACTTAGGAGCACAAGCTCCTATGAGAAGTTCCCCAGAATTCTTTGCTCCCTCCCTCCTTGTCTATAACTGTGAGTGGTCAGGTACCTGGGCAATTATTAAGTATAAGAGGAGAACATCTCACCAACCCAGCCTTGTACACAGACTCCACCTGGCTGACTGAGGCCTGGTGAACAGGACAGACACATGGCTCTCTGAAGGAGAGCTCCAATTGTTCACTAGTGTTTCCTGCTCCCTGGGCACAGGGCTGGATTACATCCCCAAGTCTCCAACGACAGGTCAGGTGGCATATGGAGCTTAGGAAGACGTGAACTGCTCTTCTGGAGCTTTGGTTTAAAAGCTGGACTCTCTTCTCTTTGTGTCCCCTTCCTTCTGGCTGTGACACAGCTTCTAGAGCAACTCTGGACCCTGAAGATGAAAGATGCTAACGTGTGCACAAGCAAGCCTCCTTAGACACTGTGCAGAACCACTCACTATTGTTAAGTGAACAACAAATGACTTGTATGAAAACACTGGGTGGCTCCCATGGCTCTACCTACACCAGTGACTCCCATGACATCACGATGGCCAGGCTGCTTTGACAGCTATTCAAAGTATGCTTATGCCTTGGGTCTAGTCTTTAATCTATGGATGACTTCAGAAGGCAATATCTACTGGAATCCCCTGCCCAATCTGCATAATGGGGTCAGAATATCCACATGTGTCTGGTGAAAGCTGCCCTTGCATGACTGGGCTTTTTTTAATATGGGGTTTTGTGGCAAAGAAGATCAGAAATCATCAGAAGCCAGTGGTAATTTGTGGTTTTCAGAGCAAGGATGACATTGCTGCTCAACCCTCTCCCACCAATGCTGGAAGTCACTAATTATCCAATCCACAGGCCACTGCTGGGTTAAACAATTCAAAGAACACTAATTTTATTCACTCATGTGACACACAGTCATCACGGGTCACAGAAGACCATCTCTGCTTGACTGTAAACTGTTTTCCAGAAGACAGGAACACCCTGTCTGCCGCTACTACCTTCTCACACCGTTTACTTCTTTGCCCGGAGCTGTGGGGCTGCCACTGAGGGGTAACAGAGGCGTGTGATCAGGAAGGCTGAGCCAAATGCAAGACTGGCACTTACTTCTCCATCCAAGTTAGAGGCAGCAGCATCAAAATGCTCAGAGTTTATTTACATTCAACCTGACCTTCAGCAATTCTAAGGTGTTAGTAAATTCTGGGGCAACCTGCAGACCTAGCTAAGTGGGATTTTTACTCGAGGGTTTGAGGACGGGGTAGAGATCCTGGACTAACCAGCTCTGGGATGCTGCTGTTGCTATGGATTCTACTGGTCCTCAGGCCACATTTGATATTACTATCAGGTTTCAGAGTGGCAGTCTTCACTAGGATGTCTCTGTCACAGGAGTGCCTAGCAACCTCCACAGGCACTTTAGGATATCTGAGGGATACTCATTGGCTTCTGCTGGCTACAGGTGAGGATGCTGGCAAATGCCTCTGCCACAAGAATCAGCTGGCTTATTAAAATAACCACAGAGACAAGGTTGAGAAAAACAACTGAAGGCAGGAACTCATGCTACAGCCCAGGCTAATTTGGAACTTAAGTCTGTAAGCCCAGACATGCGACTGATGGGTTATGTACTTCTGTATATGTTCATCTTATTGATTGTTGAATAAAGTACTGTTGTCCAATGAGGCAGCAAGTTAGATGGGACTAGGAGTCAAAAAGCATTCTGGGAAATGTAGTAAAGAAGTAATGATCCAGGCAGGAAATGACATAGCAGGGAGACTCATACATAAACAAGGGAAGAAGGAAGTGGGCCCTCTCTTCCTCCAGAGTCACCCTGTGATCCCGGGATGAGGACGCCAATGGAAGGCGTCCGATAAGTCTTATAAAATATATAGATTTATGATAATTAATACTGAGCTAACAGATGAGAGTCCTAGTCATTGGCCAAGCAGCATTTGTACCTAATATAAGTCTCTGTGCATTAATTGGGGCCCTACCTCGGCAGGCAGAACTCAGGCGGCTGGGCGGAGACTTAGGTATCTTACAAAAACAAAACTGCCGGGTGGTGGTGGCACAATTCCAGAACTCCGGACCTCTGAGCTCAAGGCCAGCTTGGTCTACAGAGAGAGTTCCAGGATACCCAAGGCTACACAGAGAAATCCTGTCTCAAAAAACCCAAAACCAAACCAAAAACAACCCTCCCCAATAAAAAAACAACAAAACCACACACCTTATTTGCTTATTTTATGTGTATAGTATTTGCCTACATGTGTGTATATGTACCACCCATGCCTGGTGCCCACAGAGGTTCCCTTGAAACTAAAGCCGGCAGTCGTGAGGTGCCAGATACACGTGCTGGGAAAGAAGTACTTTTAATCGCTGAACCATCTCTAGCTCCAGACGTATCTTTACATAGTAATTCTCCATTATACCCTCACTTGCTTACCTTTGTCTTACAGACAGAGCTTGATAAAACCACTGATCTTTGCTTTGACTGGTATCAAACCCCACATTCTGACAGCCCTTTCTCTCCCAACCAATTCCTGTGCTGCCACTAAACAACCACATTTTGCTTTTCATTTCTTGGCTCACACAGCCTTAGTTTCTAAGCTTTCCAAGAAAGGCTATATGGGAGGAGGGGGAAGTGAGCTTTTTAATGTGTCTCTGTTCCTCAGACTTAATCCCAGTTTCTATTCATATCAGAATGAGAAGTGGTATGCCTGCCTGCTTAGGCAGCCCTGTCTTGCTTGCTAAGCATTGGCAGTTGAGCCTGGTCACAGAATAATACACTCAGCACAGCCCACTAGCATCCTTATGAGGTGTCATTTAATAACTGGTTTTCTCTCCCAATAATAGACTCACTGAGAATTTGCTCTACAGACATGGCTTTTCTTACATTTTGCTAAATGAAATGTACCCCATGATTTAAAAACAGTGAAGATGATCCAAGTGGCATGTATATACACAGAAACTTCAATTCTTGGATTTGTAAAATGTGTAATGAGACACATCCTGCATAGAAGGAGCCTTCTAAGAAATTTTTTTGGGGGATAGAAGGGCATGCAGCCCATGGTATATGTGTGTAGGTCAGAGGATAACTTGCAAAAGTCAGTTCTCTCCTTCCACCATGTGGGTCCCCAGGATCAAACTCAAGGTCATCAGGCTTGGCAGCAGCCACCTTTACCCGCTGAGCCGTCTCACTCACTCTCTACAGCTCTTCAAATACTAGATAACTTGGTCAAGGCTTCTTAAACTGAGGGTCATGATCCCATGTGAGGCTGCATAATTAACCCTCAAACAAACAAAAACAACAACAACAAAAACCTGGCAATGACAAAAAGTTTCTGAATACAAAACAACCCAAAATTAATTCAAAATCAAAACACATAATGAATCCAGTGTGTTTGTGGAGGCCCTCAACCAGGGCCCACTGTGCAACGTCACTGAAGCCTGGGATCTGCCAGCACTGGGCACCCCATTGCATCACACTAAGTCTGAAACGCCCTGGCTCAGATTCTAGACTACTGCATGCCATGAATTACAGTATCTCTGCAGACTGAGTTCTCTGCTCTTACGGAAACATCGTGGTTTAGTTATGGAAAACAGACACTTTTAACCTTTTCCAACTATCATTTCAAAAGCATTAAAGTATCAAATTAGTGTTTCATTAGGTCTGATTTTGCTAGGCCAATACATCCACCTCATGGCATACAAATATACCCCCCTTAATTGATGGTAAAACTGTGATATACCAAGAATTGCTTTAAAATAAATTTATGACTTACTATTAGTAAATGTTTGATTTGTAGGCTTATTTATATACCTAAATTATATACCCGGGGATGTGCAAAAATGTCCCCTTCTGGAAAAGAGCTTTGAGTGCTCAGTGTTAGAGAACCTGGGGACTCAGAGCCTAGCAGGCACAATGCATGGGTTCGTTTGCTGGAACCACACAAGCAAAACGAGCCCTGGACAGAGCTTAATCAGGTCAAGTTGTCTCAAGTGTTGACTTTTGGGTGAGAAGAGCCAGGGGTGCCTAGAAGGTTTTGGTGGCTGGACAAGTTCCTTGCTGTACACAAGATTGCTAAGTATGAGAGTGTCCCAGGAAACTCAAACCATCCCTTTATCTTTTCCTAAGGGACCACTCTACAAGGAGTAAGCACACTCCTGCTCCCCAAGAACTTCCCACAGGTCAGTTCCCACCATTCACCAGTCACGGTCAGAAAAATCAGTCAATTCCCCATCTGAAATGCTGGCACCATGGCAGCCAAAATTGTTAGCTCAGAAATGGGTAAAACCTCAGGCTCGTGAGGACACGGGAGTGGGATGGCCCACAGTGTCTCTCTTGGAGAGAATGGTTGTGTACAAAAGACAGGTTCTCTATCTGAGCTCTTACCAGCACAGTGATTCCTTGCTCTTTGCACAGCATGGCTACGGCTCCCAGAAAGATGCTCAGCAACACCCAGAAGGTGGAGAAATGTGTTCTCTCCTTGTTACCTGCCAGTAACAGACAACACATATTGTCACGTAATAATATGTCCCATCTTGCCAGCACCAGGAAGTAAAATTCCAAGCATGCACCTAGCAGAGTCACTAACCCGAGCTTGGTCCCTTAGTGGGCCAATGAGCACTTCTGCACTCTGACTGGACACGTGTCCCATCTTAAAGCATTGAGAAGCATTGTAAGTTAGCTCTGGCCACAGAGATGCCAGAGCCCAGAGTTCCCATGGAGAAAGTTTCTTCTTCCCGACTTGATCCCTACTATAGGACCATTCTAACAAGTGGCACTGAGAACTCTGACCCTGCAAGCAATCCGTCTGATTGTAAAATGACTCCAGTGGATCCCACTGCTATCACAAAAAAAAGGATCTTGGAATGTCCACACATCTCCCAGTCTCTTACGCCAGGGATTAGGACTGGGCTCTGTACACCAGAGGGCTTAGGATGGGTCTGCCCCTCTCTGTGTGCAATGGCTCTGACTCTACCACCAAACGGTGCATGGCCACTGCTGGATGGCTTCATTTCCTAGCACTCTGGACCAGTAAAGGTCATGGGTCTGTTTGGCTCCAACCCTTAAGGGGGCTAAGCATTCAAGATCAAGTCAAAAGACCACTCAACATGGAAGCTGATGAGAAACCCGGAGGTCAGGGGTGGTGGCCAAGGGCCACCATGCTACTTTCTGAGGTGGCAGGTGTACGCCCACTGCTGTCTGTGGTCAACAAAAAATCTAGTGGCCAGAATTGAACAGCTGGAAGGAGACAGAGCCACAGGTAGGCCTCACCCCTGCCACCCCTTTTGAAGTCCTCAGTCCTCATCTAAGTGAACAAACACTGTGTTCTTGGGAGAACTGATCGTTAGCACGTCTGGGTGCCACTGCAAGGACATCACATCTAACTTCTGCTCTGCCATTCATGACTAACACACAGCATCCAATGAGCTACTTTTACTCCCCTCATCTATAAGATGGGGTAATGAACCTATCTCAGGAAACGAGAGGGAAAACCTATAGTGGAATGACTTGCCACTATGTTATAAATCACATGAAAGCAAAAACATATCTCTAGAAACACGTACAGACAACTGACTATAGTAATTAGTGAGTGAAGAAAAAAAGAGTAGGGGAGGAAGTCATACTTTTCACTGTAGAACCAAGTTCTTAGCCATATATACATATAAAAACCAGATCAAACAGGAAGCACCTTTAAAAAAAAAAATCACTCGATATAGTGTGGAAACCACAGGGGTAGCTGATAAACTCTGCATGCAAACTTCCTCAGGTCAGAGTGATCGGATTTCTGTGGGACTTGAGTGCAATAGTAAAAAGTAGTGGCTGGTGAATTATCCTGGGATAAAATGTGTGAATAAAGCAGTGCAGTTTCTAAAGTACACCGTGGTTCTCATTAAACTGCTCACTCCAGAAGCCAGCATAAATGCTCGTGTGTGTGTGCGTGTGTGTGTGTGTGTGTGTGTGTGTGTGTGTGTATGCGTGCGTGCACGCACGTGCATGTGCACATGTGCATATCCCCACTGGATATAAGTCTTATGATTTATTAAGGACTGATTGGCAAAGCCCCAAGATGGAAGTCTTTCATGTCCTGCCAATAATCCCCAGGACCTGGAGTGCACCAGAGGTGATCTCAACTTCATGCCCTCTGCATGTGGGCTAAGATACCTTTCAAGGTGATGAAGCCTATAGCTAGCTGAACCCATTGGAAGCTCACAAATGCATGAGCAGCAGCATTTTCTGCCAGGACCGACACCTGCTGTTGCCTTCAGGCTAAGGGTAACCCTTGTGAGTATGGCTTTCATTAGTGGCCTTGCTACTGTGACCACCTGGCACCCTCTAACTTCCCTGGTCTATAGTCAATCCTGGGCATAGTAGCCAACTCAACAGATTCCCACTTTGCTTTGCTTGTCCCATTCCCCTGGGCTAGTATGCCTCTGGCAAAATCCTACCCTTCTTATGAAGCTGTCAAATGTCACTTAAGCTGTGAAGCCACACACGCCCCCCAACTCTCCCAGCAGTCTCCCTTCCCCAATTCACTTGCTTTATGGCAGTTAGAACAGCAAGTGGCCTGCCTGTCTGATTGCCTATGGGGTTATTAAGTTAGAAGGAGCCATAGCCTATAAACTACATAACCATAACCCACAATTCATCAGGACACTTTTCAGATATTATAGAGACCGGATTTTCTGTTATTGTCCCAAATGAGAATTCCTCAAAATTAGACATATGGTTGTGTGGGGACAAAGCTGCATATCACAGGAAATTATTAGACAACAAGAGCATTTCTAACCAACTGTGTTACAGATATTGCCAAATGACTTTGGTGGGCGGAACCATGCCTACTGGGAAACTGCTGGCCTAAACCAGTACTGGTCAGGTTGAGGGTCTGGAGCTTGAGCTTAGATATTGCTAACAATGCAAAATTACAACCCATCCAGGCCTATCGAGTCAGGAATCCTAAGAATGGCAGCTAGCAAGCATGGGCCCTTTTAACATGCTCCCCAGATCTCTGGACACTCTACAGACCCACAACAACACCCTTGGCAGCAAGAGTGCATTCAGCTACATTGCCGGCACCCTGCCTGGCTTCAAGGAGCTGAGAGTTGTACTGACCAGATAGCAGCAGCACAACTGACTGAGTGGCAACACATGTTGGGTGGATGAAGGAGAATCCTTTCCAGGATGCTTCCAGCAGGGGGCCACCTGACCTAGACTTGAGTAACTTGAGCACAGGCATGAGCATCTCATAACACATCCCATTTCACTTAAGCTCTGGTCCATTAGGAATATTATTCTTTATGCTGAGCACAAGCTTGCCTTTCTGAATTTCATGGCTTAAGCTCCAGGCTGTTTGGGTGGCAGTGGGCCTAGAAGTCAATGCTTCTTCAGTAAGAACCATTACATATTTATCTAGTTCTACCAAACAAATGAAGGATGGTTTTACTTACACACATGACTTGCACATATGTAATACCAAAAGACCATAATTAGAACCACTGACATTACCAAAAGCTACTATATTAAGCAGGATACTGATTTGAGACTTTGTAATGTTCCAGGCCCAGCAAGAGGGGCTGCAGTCTGGCCTCATTCCATTGTAATTGTGTCCACTGCTCGCTAAGCCTAACTGTCCTATACAGTTATAACTGCCAATACACTTATGCTGTTATTAAAACTTCATATAAAGAACTTGTAAATAAAAACCATTATACAGTGGGATTAGTCAGACCCAAAGTCTATGCATCTCAATGAACTTATACAGTTAGTATAGCCATCCTGAAACTGCAAAGCCTTGCCTTTCACCACCAATTCTATTTTATTTATATTTTTATGGGTTTGACTTACAAAGCATTCTCACCTCATACTTCTCACTGAAACATAATATGATTTTCTAAGACCTAAATTTTAAAAGCGCACCCCCATATCATTTTACATATCTTCCTAGACAAATGGAATGACTTTGTGTTTTACTTAAATATAACATGCTGAAGATGAATGTCTGTTCCCCGACCCATTGGGGTGTAACAGGAAGTAAGGTCCAGGTCCCCCATTAAAACATGCAAAGGATGACTCTTGAAGGCACCCTGCTAGCACAAAGCTAAATACTACGAGCTTGTGAAAATGAAGGGCTCAAGTCCCAGCCATCTAGTCTAGAATTCAAAACAGTCCTCTTCATGGATGGCTAACATAGACTTAAAGGAATATATAAAAACAAGACAGAAAATAGCTTGTGGCTTTATTGAGCTTTTTCCCTAGGGTCACTCCATGATTGTACTATACCTCTCGCATGCCCTGTGCTGGCTGGCTTTTGTCAAGTTGGCACAAGCCTGACCTATCTGGGAAGAGGGAATCTTATTTGAGAGAATGCCTCTGTCAGATAGGTCTGAAGTTATAGGTCTGTTGTGTATTGTCTTGATTAATGATCAGTGTAGGAGGACATCCCTGGACTGGTCATAGGTTGTATGAAAAAGAAGGCTAACACAAGAGGAACAAGCTAATAAGCAGTACCTTTTTCTGTCTCTGCACCAGCTCCTCCTTCCAGGTTCCTGCCTCGAGTTCCTGCCTGGCCTGGCTTCTTACAAGGTTGGACCGTGATGTGGAAGTGTAAACTGAAATAAGCCCTTTGCTCTCCCACTTGTTTCTGCCCTGCTTCATCGAAACATGAGAAAGCCCTGAACCCCCCCCCCTCGCCCGCCTCCTGCGCTGCATCCTCCTTTCTGCGTCTGACGTAACACACCCAGACAAAACCTATGCAGTGAAGCCACTGCTTCTCTGCTCAAGTCTCTTCAGCATCAGTAACCATTTACTATTAGGCATTGCCTCTGAAATCAGTGGCAATTTCAGATCAAAGGCAACACTTCAATGTTCAGTTATTAACCTAGACAGCTTCGCTGGCAGAAAGGCAACTCCAGACCTGCTATTATCTAGAAGCAAGTCATTAAAGCTAACGGGCACTTGAGAGTAACCTAGTCCCAACCTAGATTCTGTAGAATGTATGGAAAACTAACGTAAAAATATTTCACATTGTAGACTGATTCTATGTAAAATTCTATTGTTGATAGATTGTAATTCATCTCACTACTTTTTCTTTGAGCCAGGGATTCCTATCCCAGCCTGGCATCAAACTATGTAGTAGACGATAATCCTGAATTTCTGATCCGCCAGCTTCTACCTCCATCCAGTGCTGAGATCACAGGTCTAGTTCATGGGGAGCTGGGGACTGGACTTAGGGCTCTGTGCATGGTATGCAAGCACCTAGCAGACACATACTCAAAATAATAAGCAAATAAATTTCTCAAATCATACTATTCAAGTCAAGGGGGTCCTCTTGACAAACATGGAGTATATCTGTGCATTATAAACCAAAGTCAGCCAACCGACACAGCATTAGTGAGCTTCTATTTACCCACCAGGGGTGGGAAAAAAAAAACTTAAATTTTCTGGGACAACCCCATTGAGGGCGGTTTTATCCATGCAACTCCCCTAAATT